ACCCACTTTTCTTTTGCTGCTTGCAGCCTCTTCTTTATCCCATCCAGAATTACTTTGTTGGATGCTTCTACTTGTCCATTGCTTTGTGGAAAGCTTGGGGTTGAAAAGTAGTTCTTGATCTTGAACTTTGCACAGAAGTTCTTGATTAGCTTACTGTCAAATTGAGTTCCATTGTCCGCAACAATTGCTCTTGGAATTCCAAACCTGGTGATAATGTTCTTCCAAATGAAGTTCTTCACGTCCACATCTCGGATCTTGGTAAGAGGTTCTGCTTCTATCCATTTAGTGAAGTAATCTGTTGCTACCAGCAAGTACTTCCTTTGTCCAGTTGCTTGAGGCAGTTGCCTGACGAGATCCATGCCCCATTGGGCAAATGGCCAAGGACTGGATACAGGGTTCAGGTCTGCTGCTGGTTGGTGTATCAGAGGTGCAAACCTTTGGCATTGTTCACACTTCTTTACATAGGCTTTTGCATCTTTCTGCATATAAGGCCATCAATACCCCTGGGTGATGGCCCTATGAGCGATTGATCTGCCCCCAGCGTGGCTTCCACAAATTCCTTCATGAATTTCATATAAAAAATCTTCCACTTGTGAAGGATGTACACACCTCAAAAGGGGTCCAGTGAAGGATCTTCTGTAGATGTGTCCCTTTGCTGTTAGACTGAATCTTGCCGACTTCAATATGATCTTGTGTGCCTCCTTGTGGTCGTCTGGCAGCTTCACTTCTTTTAGGAATGCAACAATTGCGTCCATCCAGCTTGGTCCCACGTCCATGCATATTGCTTCATGCTCTGTGGATAGTGGCTCGACGCTTGGGCCCGACAAATAGTCGATCATTATTGTCCTTGCTTTTCCAGGTTGTACTGCACTAGCTAGGTAGGCCAACGCATCGGCGTGGCTGTTATCATCTCGGCTAACTTGAAGTAGTCAGCAGTTCTGAAACAAGGCTGCCAGCCTGATGACCTCCTTTGCGTAGGCCGACATCCATTCATCTCGGGCAACAAACTCGCCCGTTGTCTGGTTGACAATGGGCTGGGAGTCGCAGAAGACTATTACCTTGTCTGCCTCTGCTGCTACTGCCAGCTTCAGTCCTGTAATCAATGCTTCATATTCTGTTTCGTTGTTTGAGGCTTTGAACCCCAAACGAATGGACTGTTCCACTATCTGTCCATCTGGAGATATCAGCACTACTCCTGCCCCCGCTCCCTATCGGTTTGAACTCCCATCAACAAACAGTTGAAAGGAGTCGCCGATGTAAATGTTGCAAGGTCTGAGTTTTTCCTCTTTTCTTTGTTCTTTCGCCTTTGGCTGAGCTTCTCCTTGCTTGTTTGGACATCGTTTATCTTGGCTCAACGGAGCCCGATGTTCGATGGATTCTGGTGTGAACTCAGCCACGAAGTCGGCCAGAACCTAGCCTTTGATTGCTGCCCTTGGCCTGTACTCCAGGTTATACTGGCCTTGGGTGACTGCCCACCTGGCTATTCTTCTTGTCAGGTCTCCTTGTTGCAGTAAGGACTTCAAGGGGTGTTCTGTTAGCACCACAATTTTATGGGCCTGGAAGTAATGGTTCAACTTCTTTGAAGCCATTACCAATGCTAGTGCCAATTTTTCTAAGGGTAAATACCTCGTTTCTGTATCGGCCAGGGTTTTGCTTACATAGTAAACAGCCCTTTGTTCCCCTTTGTCTTCTCAGACTACTACTGCGCTCACTGCATGTTCTGAAACCGCTAACTACAAGAACAGCTCCTCCCTAGGTTCTGAATTTGAAAGAACCGGAGCTGTGGTCAAGTACTTCTTCAGGTCGGCTAAATCGGCTTCGCATTCTTCGGTCCACAGGAAGTCTGTGGCTTTCTTTATTAAGTTGAAGAAAGGTCTGCACTTGTTTGAGCTTCTACTGATGAACCTATTCAGGGCTGCAGCCCTTCCAGTTAGCATTTGCACCTGTTTTGCCGACGTCGGTCTCTTCAAATCCAGTATGGCCTTGATCTGATCTGGGCTGGCCTCTATGCCCCTTCTAGTCACCAGGTATCCCAAAAACTTACCAGATCCTACTCCAAATGCACACTTTGCTGCATTCAGTCGAAGCTGATATTACTTCAATATATCAAAAACTTCTTTCAAGTCAGCCAAATGATCCCCTTGTTCCTTACTCTTGACAACCATGTCATTTATGTAGACTTCCACGGTCTTCCCAATTAGGCGCTTGAACATTTTGGTAACCAACCTCTAGTATGTCACTCCTGCATTCTTCAGTCCAAAGGGCATTACTCTGTAGCAATAAAGTTCCTTTGGAGTGATGAATGTTGTTTTCTTTTCATCTGAGGCATACATGGCTATCTGATGATAACCTTTTTATACATCCAAGAAGCTTATCCTTCCACGCAACAAAGTGGCATCCACCAACTGATCAATCTTGGGTAGAGGGAAATAGTCCTTCAGACAAGCCTTGTTCAAGCTTGAGAAATCCACACTGACCCTCAACTTGTCATTCTTCTTCCACCACCACCATATTAGACAGCTAGGTAGGGTAGTTCACTTCTCGAATTGCTTGTGCCTCTAATAGCTTTTTCACTTCTTCTTCAACTACCTGTACATGGACCAAAGTTGGTCTCCTTAATCTTTGAATGACAGGTTTAGCTAACCTATCTACATTCAATTTGTGACATGTAACCTCAGGGCTGATCTCTGGCATCTTATAGGGTGTCCAAACAAACACTTCTATGTTAATTGGTGCAACGCTGAGGGAACAACTCTCATTGTATGTAGCCAAGGTCTTTCCAGAATGACGTTGTATGGGGAGAGGGTATCTATCATGGTAAACTCTATAGTTACCTTTTCGGTCCTACTTGCACCTCCAGATTCGTGGTTCCTAGCAACCATGTCAGCGTCCCATTGAATCTGACCATAGGGTTGTCAGATTGCTCTAGATCATCCTTATGGTGGCCGAGCTCCTTGTAACATCTGATACACATGATGTCACAAGAACTACCTTGATCAATCATGATGTGCCTCACCTGGCAATCTCTAATCTTCAATGTCACCACCAAGCATCATTGTGCGGATGTTGTACCATATCTAAGTCCTCTTTAGTGAAGGATATTATCGGCTCCTGATGTCCACATGTTCTGGGCTTCTTCTACTAAATCTGGTAGACATGCTGCAGATGCCTTACCCTCTGAGTCTCCTCTCAAATTACGTTGATTACCTATGGTCCCTCTGCTTGTGGTGGTGGTGGTGACAGTGGTGTTGCCAGTGCCTGGGCCAACTTCGCTTGTTTCTCTCTTGTTTTTGCTTTATCGATTAGGTCTCTCAAGTGTCCCTATCTGACCAAATCCTCCATGTGCGATTTCAGAGCCTAGCATCCTTGAGTCATATGCCCAGTATTTTCGTGGTAGGCGCAATTTTTCCTGACGCCTCTGCCTATGTACTCTTATGGGATTTTCTGCGGTGCCCTATAGTATAACTGGTTTCTAATTCTTTTCAAGATTTTATAAATGGAGATCTTGAAAACTGTACTTACTGCTTGTATGGACCTCAGTCCTATCTCTGGCCTATCAGTGTTGGTATTTCTTCAACCTCGCTTCGATGAGCCATTTCTCCTCTCCTGCTTTTCAACACTCATCTTCGTTACTTTCGTATCTTCCTCAACCCTATCGTATTTTTCAATTCGTGCCATGAGTTCATCTATGTTCTTCGGGATGGTTTTTGCAAGTGATTACCTGAGTGGGCAATCATCATCCAAGTCATTCTTAAAAGACACGACTGCAAGCTCTTGGTTACAAGCTGAAATCCGGTTGTAAACCTCGTAGTACCTCTTGGCGTAGGCCCTAAGATCTTTGTCATCGCTAATCTTTAAAGCCCGTATAGAGTCTACCTTCAGTGGTTGCAATCTGTTTATAACAAACCTGGTCACAAATATCTCGGTCAAGCCTTCCCAACTCTTTATACATCCTTTCGGTAGTTTATGGAACCAATCTAATGCTATTTTCCCAAATGACGATAGAGACACCTTGCACAATAGCTACTCATTCCCACTCTATAAAGCCATTGAATTTAAGTATAAACCGATATGAAAGTTTGGGTCAGACTTACCATCATAGATCTGAAACCTCGGTATGCTAAACCTTTTTGGTGATTCGAATGCATCCAACTCTACTGAAAATGGCATCTTCGGTTGGGCGTTGGATGTGATCTCGGCATCGTGTCTCTTCCTTTAGAGGTAATTTCTCAAGTCCTCCTTTGTTTGTCCGGGAGCTCGGCTGTCAGTCGACTTTAGCTTTTTTGGCGCGCTATTTCCTATGTTAGGGTGCGTTCTCTTAGACTTCTCCATGTCCACTACATCATCAAAACAGAGGCCCTACTTGTGGATCTGCCAAGATCCCCTGACGTAGGTGCCCTTGGTTCGTGGTGTCCTTTAGGACTCTCTTTGCACTGACTCTATCTGCCTGGCATCTCGTGATTGCTGACGTAAATTTCCCTGTCCCTTAGCATGCTGTGGGACAATTGGTACCACCTTTTGTCCTCTCTTTTAGACATAGGCTTTGGCTGTTGGTGCCGGTATATCTTGCAAAGGAAACGCTAGTTGCATCACATTGTTCTGCATCATAAAGTTAACAACCATCTGCAAGTCTCTCAACTTGTTTGCCATATCCTTTAACTCTTCATCCCTTCTCAGGCATCTATTCTTTCATACCTGAAGATCGTCTTCATGGTAGTACTCGTCTCGGTTGCCTTTTTTGTTTCTATTTCGCCCCCTGGCGACATTGTTTGCCTCGGGATCTATCGCATGCACTTTTTCATTGTTGTTTCCCCCTCCTACATTGGGATTCATATGTACTTCCTCCTCACTTTGAATGTCATCCTCGATTCTCACTTCATGTCCATTGTTGGCCATCTATCCTTACTAAGTTTCCACAGATGGCGCCAAAATTGTGGGCGTTGATTTCCGACTACACAACCAAACAGGGAACTTAGCTAGAAAGCACGTGTTAGAATAGATTAAGCCAACCACCTGCAAACAAAAAGATAAGAATACCGCAGTTGCTCGTCCTCCCAGAGGCACTCCGACGATCAAGTCAGTCAACTTATCTCTCAAAGATATCAACACAAGTACACAACTCAGAGTATAAATCATATCTTAGACCCACGGGAGTGCCTTACTTTTATAGCCAACAGTGTCTTCGTCTTCTAGAAGTCTTACTTCCTAGGACTCAAGCACAGTGTTTATCTCGGACTCTTAATTAGATATAGATAAACTCCTCAAGAGCCTTATCCTTATCCAAACTAAGTGCCCTCTCTTATGTAAGACTCTTGTCCTTTATCCAAGTATCTCGGATTTTGATATTACCGCACAATATCTCGGCCACACCGCAACCATCTCGGCAACATGCCTCGCCCATGTGGCACCTCGGCCGACACCTCGACGGCATCTTGGCCATGTGGCGTCATTCGCAAAATACATCCCCACAAGAGAATTTAACATTTTATTTAACAAAAATGTTTGGGACCCCCTTTTTTGAGGATTTCATAGCCCCTAATTTGATCTTTGCCCTTGATATGGAGATCTTGAAAACTGTACTTACTGCTTGTATGGACCTCAATCCTATCTCTGGCCTATCAGTATTGGTATTTCTTCAACCTCGCTTAGATGAGCCATTTCTCCTCTCCTGCTTTTCAGGAGGCTTTTGTCTGGATCTGTGTTCTGTTGTCAGCCAACCATTGTGCCTCACGTGGAGGTTCTTGAAGTGTCTCAAGTGTTTAAGTTCTGTTGTTTCTGTATATATATAAGACTCGGTTGTTCTATTGGCTGTACTTAAGATACTTTAATGTGTGTGGGTATAATGTATGAACGACTTTTGATTATGTATATAAAGTTTCTAAATATTCCGTTTCATATAAGTCAGCACAGCTCATTGGACAACTATATTTATGTATTAGCTTCCGCTAGCCCCTTAATGCCTTTGGTAAATGTTGCAGTAAACGTGCCACGAAAGCTATTGATCCCTAAATTCAGCACTGAGAGACTGTTGCTCAAGTTTCCCAAACATTGTGGAATCAACCCGCTCAAACTGTTATTAGACAGATCAAGAACTCCAAGTGAACTCAGATTGCAAATCAATGTAGGGATTTCTCCGGTCAATTTATTGTTTGAGATAGAGAAAACATATGTGGTGTTAGGTGGAACAGGGAGTGGTCCTCGGAGTGAGTTGGAGTGCAGGTCAATAAGCTGTAGATTCTTCCATGGAAGGCGCTCTAAACTTGTAATGAAATTATGAGAAAGATTTAAATTTTGCAATGAATCTTTCCCCACATTGAATAACCATTTTGGAACTTCACCGTGAATTTTGTTGTTTGAAAGGTCTAGAGAACGCAATCTGGCTTGTTCTCTCAAGAAGTTTGGGAATTCGCTCAAGTTGCAAGAAGCTAATCCTATAGTTTTAAAGTTGGTCAAGGTAGAGTTGACACTGTTGTTGATGCTCAATGAGAGACCATTATATGAGAGACCAAGAGAGATCAGATTTTTAAGCTTTAGAAGCTTGTCTAGATCCACTACACCACTCAAGTTATTTGATGAAAGCCGCAAGAATGTTAGGTTCTGAAGTTCATAAACTGATCCTGGAATTGGTCCCTGTAGCTTATTGTTAATCAATTCTATATAAACCAGTGAAGGCAGAGCAAACAACGAAGATGGTATTGTCCCATTGAGTGAGTTATAACTCAAATGGAGAGAAGTTAGTTGGCTCATGTTGCCAAGGGAATCCGGTATTTGTCCGTTCAAATTGTTTCTGGAAAGATACAAGCTATTAAGCTTTGCAAGGTTTGAATTTGATGAGGGGATTTGACCGCTGAAACTATTAGATGAGAAGGCTAAATTGGTGATTTTTGTAAGGTTCCAAACAGAAGCTGGAATGGACCCCGAAAGGTTGCAGTTGAAGAGGTACAAAATATTCAAGGCTTTAAGATTGCTGATTGATTCAGGCAATTGGCCAGAAAAACTTATGTCGCCAAGATCAAGAAACTGAAGGGAACTAGTTGCATTGAAGTATGGAAGTTTACCTGTGAGGTCCCGATTTCCCCATACATGGAGCTCTCGTAGGTTTGGAAAGTGAAAAATGTTTTCTGAGAATTTCCCACGCAGTTGACAATAACCAAGACTGAGAGATGTCAAAGAAGATAGATTTAGCAAAGCATGAGGTAAAGGTGAAGAGATATTCAACGAATCAAGGTGTAGTTCTCTTAATTGGGTTAGGTTTCGAAGGAGCATATTGAAAGTGTGTTGTTCAAGTCTCCCCTTAGGAGGATAATAATAATAACCCAAATAAGAGAGGTCTAAGGAAATCAATTTGGACAGATGGCAGATTTTTGAGGGAATTCGGCCTGTAAAATTAGAGTAAGAGAGGTTGAGATGGGTCAAACTTGGAAATGAGCCAAAATCACGTGAAATTGTAGAGAAATTGAAGTCATTGAAGGCAAGATTGAGGGTTTGGAGGTGACGAAGGTGGAAGAGGGTGGTGTTGGGTTGGATGGTGCCCTGAAGTTGGCTGCAACTGAGGTCAAGTCCAATCACATGACCATTGGACCAGTCGCACGTGACCCCCTCCCACGAGCAGCAATCACTACTCTCATTCCAGAACACCATTTTAGGATGAGAATCAGATTCGCAAAAAACAGAGGCATTAGCAGTTATGGTAAATGTTGTTTTAAATTGGAGAAGTGAAAATCTCTGGTCCTCAAGGCAGGTATGGCGTGCAGAAGTAGAAAAAGAAGAAGAAGACAAGAGAAATAACAGAAGAAATTGATGAAGAACAAACATAACCCAACTCATTTTGTTCTCTTACAGGTAGAAGGATTCGGAGAGATATGAAAAGGAGAGTATAGGAAGGATAGTAGTTTGATGATGGAGAAGGAATAAATGTATTACTCATTCTTATACACACTGCTAAGTCCTTCTCTGGTAGTGGTGGTGGAGCAACCCAGCCCAGCCCGTCAAGCACGGCAACTGTGTAATTCTATCCACCACCCACATGACTTGCAAATTCGCAACAGTGATTCTTTGTCTTTAATTCCAATAAGAAATTATGTTGATATTCTGTACATTTTGTCTATTATGTCTTTTTAGTTTAAGTAATTTTAATTAATTTTATTTCAAATTCTTAACTTTTAATTTTGTATTAATTTGATTTAATTGATAACATTAATTGTGGTTGTTGAAAGAAAAAATGTTACTGAGTTAGTTGAGAATTGAATTGAATTGAATAAGTTTATAATTTTTTAGCTGTAAAAATATGAAACATGCAACTCATGGGCACAATTTTTATAAAAAGAAAATACTAAAAGTTGTAATCAATTGGATCAAATTGAGATAAAATCATAAATTAATGTTGAAATTGAGTCAATTGAAATTATAAAAACAAAAATAACACAAGAGTAAAAATATAAAGACTACTAATATAGTTTTCCTTTAATCAATTAAAACTTGGTAATGCCTTGACTATTTATAAAGCAAGTAATAAAACATCTTGGGACTGGTTTGCTTTTAATTGAACAAAAGCATAAATGTAAGATTCATTATTTTTTGTTGTCCCGCAGTTTATAAAAAAAAAAAATGAATTTTTTAGGGTATTATTTTTCACAATTTCTTTAATGGAATATTTAAAAAAATAGACATTTTAGATTGTTTAATAAATATATTTTTCATAGTACAAGGCAACAGAAAATGATGAATCCTATGATATAGTTATTTTCATCAAATTGTTGAGTATGATTTTGTTTGATGCAATTTATTCAATTTTTGCAAATAAAAAATATATTTTTTAAAGAAAATTAAAATTGTTTATGTAATTGTTGTTTATGGTATAATTGGAATAAAATATAGTATTAAGAAAAAATGAACTTTTTTAGAATAAATAAGACTTAATTGTCTGCATTGAAAATGACTCATTAATACTCTTGAAAATAAGATTTATTGATAATTTTTTTTAATTTATTTTTGAACACATTGCTTTGCTCTAGTTCCCTTGATAATTGTTAGAGATGGGAGATTTCTAAGGAATGTGATTGGAAATAAGCAAAAATTATTCTATAGGACTAACCTGTATTTTATGTGGTTTGTCTTTCTAAGTGTATGAGACCATATTATTAATTTTTCATACATTTTCTCTTACAATTGAGGCAAACTAATTATGTGTCTCATTGTTATAAGATCGGCACACAACTAAAATTATTTAGTAAGTTTGGAATACTGCGTGTCCATGTGCCCATCCAATAATATTCTATAATTTCTCCACTATTTCCTTATTTGGAAGTCATGTATTCATTTAGCCCCAACTATTCGCTAACCACACGACCAACGTGAAATTCCCACAAAACAAAATAATTCCTCGCACATAACCACCTAGTAGAATGGATCCACTAGATAACTTGGAAATAAGGGAATACCTTGAAGTTAATACATGTTGATACATGCAAAACAAAATAATTCCTCCTACATAACCACCTGGATTATGTATAGTATTTTTTTTTTAATTTTATCAAATCGTTCTGTTTGATATAGTTTTAATAATATTTACAACTAAAGAATATATAATTAGAGTAAATTAAAATTAATTATACAATTGCTATTCATATTTATATAAGAATGGTAAATTTGTAATGAAATATATTATTAAGGAGACGTGAACTTGTTTGAGAATAAATTAGGAAAAATAAGACTTAATTGTTCACATTAAAATTTGGTAGTACTCACTAATAATATTGAAATAGTGGTTTGAATCATACAATTCGAAATATGATTCGTATAATTCTATATGAGTTTTACATAGGGTAATACAAATTGCAACTAAGAATAAGAAATTTGTTGGAATCGTGCAATATAGCGACCCCGGTCTTTTCCCATTTGATTATTGTATCCGGACTTAGGTTCCGTTTATTCTGTCATTGTATAATTGTTGTTGTCGTCCTTTATTTTCTCATTTGGAGTTATAGGATGTGTTGGGCAGGTTTGTTTTAGGTTAGTTGGGTTTAGAAACCAAGTGTTGCTGTCCAGAATTTTGGATCTTCGCTCGAGCGAGGAGTTAGTCGCTCGAGCGAGATGTTGTTGTTTAGTTCTTCGCTCAAGCCGGGGTTTGGTAGCTCGAGCGAGAGATGGCGTCCAGTATGGACCTGTAGCTTTGCATTCTTGGCTCGAGCGAGATTCTCTTCGCTCGAGCGAGTTAGTTCGTTCTTCCCTCGAGCAATA